CTGTATTGCCCGTGGAAACCTCCAAGGAGTTATAACTAAACGCTTTCTTTTCTTATTATTTCATTTAATCACATAATCACATAATTTTTACAAAAACATAAAAAGAAAAAAAAAAAAAAAAAAAAAAAAAAAAAAAACAAAAAAAAAAAAAAAACAAACACACATCTACATACGATCTATGCAATAACTTAGTGTGGCACAAGAGCTCCGGAGTAAACACATTAGTCATAATTCCGTCACCTCAAGTGTACGAAGAAACCGGGCAGAGAGGACAGTTACAGGTGCGAGCCCACCACGCGCCACCCTCATTGCACACCACGTCACATATATGTGTATGTATCTAATACTACGCGAGAAAGAACAAACATTAAAGAAATGACTAATCCCGCCGAGAAGAACAAGTAAGATGCGTTAAAAAAAAAACTGTATTCATGCTGCTCTAAACGCCCTTGAAACAACCACATTATCGAGATGCGTAGCTGAAGCGTGTAGTATGACTCAGTGGCACAAAGTTCGATTGAATGCTGAGCGCACACATGCTCCTTCGCCTACGTGTGAGAACATGAAAGCGGAATGCTTGCAATTTACCCTTTCCTCTTGTGACATGGTCGCAGGCGCGATGTCAGCGTGTTAGTATCACCACACCGTCTAATTTACTTTCTCAGGACTGTGAACCATATGCTCGAGTGTTTATATGTCCTGTGACAGCAGTGTCAACCCCCACAAAGAATGAGCGAACAATGATATCTGACATGCTTTCGAGTGTAATCTTGAGGTGATCTTGTGCATATCATCTTACATTATGCTATAGACTCAGATGTCGCCCCCATTGCGACCAACATGTGTGAAGGGACGCGTCTGTTGTCTAGCCCAGCATCAGCCCAAGCCCTTCAATGAGACGCGATATGCACATCAACGTGATGACGCCTGCTTCACCGGTCCGAAACAAGATTCAACATGCTGAGGCTGATGTGGCGATTACCAGACCCGACAACACATCCTTGTTGATCAGTCATATACACACCTGCCACACAAAACACATCAACGATTCTAAAAGCAATGGTGCGTTTTGATGTCATGCCTCGAGTAACAGCCAAAGCTCTGAAGGCCTCTTGCTTGTCATAGTAAGACAGCCGCAAAAGCAGTTGCGGCGCCAGGCAGCTATTTGTGTTGGGTAATCTAATGGTCAGCGGCTAACCCATACAGTGTGGGCGGCCCTCAAGTGCACGTATTTGCAATGTATTACATACACGCTTCGCCTTGAGCAGTGGAACAACGCCACGCGTGAGGTTTAAGATTATTTCGCCTGTCTCAATCCAAATTGACAACTGTATGAAATAAAAAGCACATTGTTGTCTGTAGTAACAAACATAAAAAGGCGGCGACCTGGAGCGCAATCCTGCATCTTCCCAGACACGTGAAAGAAGTTGAAAAACCGCCAACGCCCCTGCAGGGGGGTCCCTGGCGCATTGTCCCCAGGAGATTTTTTGAAAATACTAACATCAAATACACATTCTGCGTCTGCTCTCTTAAGAAGAAAACCATAAATAAATCACCAGATATTACTTAGCACACGTTTTAAAAAAAATGAATGTCATTTTAGTTTTTGTTACTGTTTTGTTCTGAAGCTGGAAGCCTGCTGCTCCTCACAAAGAGGAGAGAAGAGGCTGTGTGAATACTTTAGCCTGCTGGATACAGGGTGGGATAGCCCCCATTGTTCTGTGTGTCATACAATGAAAGACAGGCCCACTACCACCTATCAATCCTCAAACCTTTTGGGGTCTTATAGTTGTAACCCGATGTATTCGAGATGTACCTCACAGCAAAAAGTAGTTCTCCCGGGTCGGCGACTTCCTGCAACAACACCCGACGCTGTTATCTGATTCTGACTTGCCAGAAAGAACACTTATCAAAGATGTTCTATTCGAGCAAGACGATCAGCTACGTGACAAAAGTTTTTCAAAACCCGTTTCTAGTCTTGCGGTATATTCGCCAGAGCACAGCTGGCTCTGAACATCAAATCTTACTCAAACTGCTGTCTGTGCAATTTAACTTCACGCGCGAGTTGGGGCAGACTTATTTTGCTTAGCTTTAAGCATCATTTCTCAGTGTTGGGGCTAAGCCATTATTGTATGGCTGTAGCCTAACCAGCCATACCCTGACCGCGAATACCTTCATTCCTTCTGTCTACTTGTATTCGCGAAATGCTTCCGTTTTGCGTGTCCTCCCCTTTCAATATGAAATCGCCCGCCAAACATCATATTCCCACAGCTCGCGCCAGGCGGGGGCCCCCGCAGTTACAAGGCTCCGGCGCTCCTTCGCGTGCGCGCGCACTCCCACTTGCGCAGCTCCGCGGACTCTCTCGCGAATTTCATCTCATAAATGTCCCCGACTGAGGCCACAACTTTTTTCAAAACAACAAGCTGTCGCAAATGGGGTGGCAGCTGGGGTGGCCCCAAGGCATCTTTTTCTGAGGTGCCAGCTGGCCACCCCGTGCCACCCCGGTAGAAAACCCCACTCGCGGCGCGCCCGTACAGGCATGAGTTGGCTATCCATTTCCCCTCCAACTCTTGACAAAAAAAACAATGTTTATTATCAAGAATTGAACAGATGTAAGATGTTAGACAATATACTTCTTTTTTTTGCATATAGAGTCTACTCGTTCCTTGAGGGCTCACACCTCTGTGTCAGCAATGCCACCGGCTCCTGAGAAGCCCTCTCCAGCAGCGGAGGATAGCAGAGGAGGAAGCACCCGGAGGAAACTCAGGACTCCTGTACGACTTACAGCTGGTAAGAGAAGTGACCATGTAGTGCTTAGGTTAAATATGAAAGTCATAAGATACACATGTAATCTCACATGCCTTCTTTTATTTTATTTTGCCCTGTAAATAAAGGCTCTCCTACTGGCCCTCCAACCCAGAGCACAGTCCACCTGAATGGCCACAGTAGTCATGTGACCCTGGGAATGGGGAGGCGGGGGCGTAGATCCAGAGTGGAGCCACCAGTGAGTCCTCCAGAAGTCACGACTCCAGAGAGCCCCTCCAGACCCCGGGGCCGCCCTCCCGGCAAGAAGAAAGGCAGGAAGAGCAATCAGGACCCGGAGGAGGGGGGGAGGAGAAAGAACCGCAGAAGCTCCACCCCTGATGATGATCCTGACCAATCAACGGGGGACGAAGGCGGGGCGTCTTCAGCGCAGGAAACACCCGTGCTGTCGGACTCTGGCATGCCGTCAACGCCTAGGCGGCGCGGTCGGCCCAGAGCGGTAAGAACTGATGAAGCCCCGCCCCCTGAGGAGAGGACTGGGTCCCCTGAGCCCTCAATGCTGAGGAGGAGCAGCAGGAGAGCCATCGAGGAGGTCACGCCTCCTTCGCAGGCGGCCAATCAGCGACCCAATCGGAGAGAGTCTTCACAGGGAGAGGAAGAGGAAGAGGAAGGAGAAGGAGAAGGGGAAGCGGACGAGGCGGGGGGGTCCATGCGCACACGTAACCAGGGGCGACGGTCCGCCTGGTACGTGGAGGAGGACTCAGAGGAGGAGCAGAGGCAGCTGCTGTTTGAGGACTCGTCAATCACATTTGGCACATCCTCAAAGGGGCGTGTCCGAAAGCTGACGGAGAAGGCCAAAGCCAATCTCATTGGCTGGTAACAGAGCAGATACACAGGAAGTCAGGAGGAGGAATCTGCAGTAGATTTCTCGCATCAGAGGAGGCTGAGTAGACGGAGTCATGATTGAGAAATGCATCCGTGTGTGTGCGTCTGGGGAGTTGCTCGTCCAGCTGCTGCTATTCATAACCGTGGCGATGAAGACAAACAACAGCGCACTTATCTGTCCACTCCTCCTAGCTCTGGGCCCAGTGAGCACATCGCTCCACTGAAACGCATGTTCATCCTGTTCCAACTCGTCCTGCATTATTGGTCCATGTTGGATCCCACAGGAGCCCACTGACTCCCCTGCTGGTGGTCTCGTTCCTGTCCAGTGAACCACTCTTCACCTCCGTCTGCCCTTAAACACTGTTGGTGTCAGACCGGGCTAAACAGTAGTGGAACGGTTTTAGTACTTGAAAAATAATCATGAGGAGAGCTGGATGTATCTTACTATTTCCCGAGTTTCTCTGGTGGGTAGGTCATATGCCAACCAAGATGA